TGTAAAGATATCAATGGTCCTCACTCTGCCACATGTCAGAAGATTGAAGAAGAGAGTTGTTGAAATATTGTTAAGACTGTTAGACAGTTTTTAAAGAAGTTAGTGTTCTGTTAGACTGTTAGAGAGTTAGTGTTATGTTAAAGAAGTTAGAGAGGTTAGGAGGTTAGAAACAATATATATAAAGACCATTACTGTACTGTGTTGAAAATTATCAATGAATGAATACATCAGTTCTTCTCCTAAGAATTTCTGCTTCTCTCTGTTAAATTTCTGTTCAATATTGCTATTCTGACAGTAAGGAGCAATGGGAACATAGCATGTCATGGGGATTTTGATTAGATTGGATGCAAGATTTTTCCTAGATCCAGTATTAAATCTGTAAGGGTAGTTGAGATGGGTTAAGGCGGTGGTTGTGGTGGTGTAATGAATCACCAGTACGGATCCGATGAAGAGGAACTCCCACGAGAAGAGATGATGTTTTGTTTTGTTTTAGTTTGTCACTTACAATTTCTAAACGCTTTCAGTTTGAAAATTATATAAATATATATATTTTTTTTAATTCAAGGAAATTGTCGTCAACAATTGTGTTTTGTGCAAATGGCTTTTTTTGCATCCGAATCCATGGTTGTGGATTATAATTTAATCTAAAAACTAGAATTAGAACGACATATATGAAGCTTCCCATCTGAAAATTCGAATGTAAATTCTAAATTATCATCAATACAAAGAGTTAAGAATTACCTCTATTTTTAAAGGGTACGGGCTACTTATAGTCTAAATTAATATAATATATAAATACCGAAGAGTTTAGGGAAAGCCCAGCTAAAGTATCGAAGAGTTTTAGATGGAAAAAAAAAATGTCTTTGTGTTTTCAAGAATTTAATTAAAGAGGAGAGAGAGTTGGAAAAGGTAATCATGTAGTTGGTTGACTTATGTTTTCGAAATGAAAGAATACTGTTTTCCTTTTTAAATAATATCATATGCATTTTGAGCCATTAGATGATGAATCATCCAAGGGGTAAAAAAGTGTGTATAAATGTGTGATTTTTTGTGTCCCTCAATCCTGAATATATATATATATATATATATATGCGCGGATCCGTGGTATTATATTTTTGACACAAGTTTTGACACAAATTTTCAACCATTAGCTTAGAATGGATTGAATGGCTGAGATTATGTTTCATTAATTACTTAAATTAAATTAAATCTCTAATGCCAAGTAAATTTCATTTTTATTAATTAATTATGATAATCCCGAAAATGACTCAATTATCTTTCCCCCTTTTGTTTTCTTATCATGATCTTCTCAATTAATAACCTGTGAAACCTCACCATTACCTTCCCCTTGCCATTGTCATCTACACCAACCGAGCATTCTTCAACGACAGAAAATCTGTCTCAAGCTACCAATATTGAAGAGAAAATAAGATATTAATATTTAACCAAAAAAGAAAATGCCCACATTTTTGCAATATTTGTTCTCTACCGTTTGGTTGATCTAATTCTCTCTCTCTCTCTCTCTCTCTCTCTCTCTCTCCCTCCTTTTTCTTTTATTTTTCTTCCATTTTTCTCTCTCTCTCTCTGTTTTTTTTTTTCTAACATCTTAATGGCTTACAAGCTTTTATTCATTATGATTAATAATAACATTAAAAAATATATGGCAAAAGACAGTTTGCTGTGCAGTTGATTGTGTGTGTGTGTGTGGATAGGTTGTTATCCCCAAGCCTTTACTTCGTGAGTCATAATTTATGTATAACTGTAACAACCCAAAAACTAAGCAGTAAAAAAAAGCAAAAAACAAAGTTAGGGATAGAGAAGAAAAAGAATCAGAAACCTGTAAAGCTTTTAGAAGAAATAAGAGGAGGATGGGAAAGTCATTAACTGAAGAATTCCAGAGGATACGAAATAGGAAGATTTTATAAAACATTGATTGACAAACAATAGAGAAATAAGAATACAAATTTATAAATAAACCCAATCCTAGACATGTATTTATAAAAAAACCCAAGCACTATTTAAACATAGAAACACACCCAAAATCAACCCCAAAGTCAACTTTTTGGGTGTGTTTATAAATGAGTTTTGAGTGTGTGTAATGATGAGTTTTGGGTGTGTTTATAAAGTGTTTTGGGTGTTGGGTTTTTTTATAATTTCAACCTCTATTTTGGGTGTTTTAGTGAAACTCCCAAATAAGAAAGAGAAAGTCAATTAAGAATTATTTTTAATATATATTGAAAAATATATAATTAGTTTAGTTAATCTTAGCCATTCAATCCATTTCAATCTAATAATTAAAAATTTGTGTCGGAAATATAGTGCAACGGATCCGTACATTACTAAAAGGATATTAATTAAGATATTCTCAAATTTAAGCTTGTCAATTATGAGCTGAGGTTTGCATGTTCGGGCAATTTTGGATTTAAGTTTGGTGAGAAAATATTATTCTGTAGATTTATGCAAAGAGTCATTCAAGTCAGCAAGTAACATGCGTCAAGGCCCTTAGACAAATCAAAAATCGTTTTGACATCCAATTGTGTCCTACAAATTCAATGAATACGGTGCTTCAAGAAAGTACTAAAATTTCAATAACTGAATTAAATGGTCAAATGATATCGGATTCAAGTGATTTTTTGTAGAGATGATCTTTGAATGAGCATCTACAAAATAGACGGTTTGGATTAGTGAAATACAATCCATAGTGGGCCCTACAAGGGGTGTCCTTCAAATAAGCTTATTTGAGGAATCCCTCGATGAAAGATTATATATATATATATATATATATATATATATACACTAAGATGCAAATTTGAATTTGGGTACATGAGGGTGGACGCTAATGACAGAACTCGACCCAAATTTCACTTTGGAATCTGAGCCGAACCTTGTGCATGTCCTACACCTAGCAGGTGCCGGGCATATTTGACCAAATTGCCCTTCTAACTAAGTCTCAAGAGCTTCATGTAACTTTGTCCAAAAACGAGACTTAAACCGAGGATCTCTGTCTGACACAATAGATACTGGTAGCCTATGCAATCTCACAATTTCATCAATAAATTTTTTTACCAATTTAGGATCTGGTTATTACAATCAAGATGCATCTTTGGTATGCCCGGTCCAAGACAAGGCTTGAGTCAACAACTTTAGTGTCTGCTGAAAATTAGGGTCAGCTGGTGGGGTGACCATCTCTAGTACTACCCCTGTCAAACCTCCTACAAATGATTGCTCAACATGTTCCGGTGTCGGACCCGAAATCGGATAGTTCTCCAGCTCAAGAAGGGGATCCTGTCCCCGATGTCGAGACAACTGACGAGTCCCTCTGTAAGTACCACCGCACTTAGGGCTCATGATTCTATCACAAGAAACATGAATTCATCAATACAGGAATGCACACAAGGTGCGAAATCTACAAGAATTTAAACCTAATGCTCTTATACCAAGTTGACCAGGACCTGACCCAAATTCCACTTTGGAATATGAGCTGAACCTTGTGCGTGTCTGACACCTAGCAGGTGCTGGGCACACTTGACCAAATTGCCCTTCTAACTAAGTCTCAAAAGCTTCATGTAACTTTGTCCAAAAATGAGACTTAAACCGAGGATCTCTGTTTGACACAATAAATACTGGTACCCCATGCAATCTCACAATTTCAATAATAAATTTTTTGGCCAATTTAGGATCGGGTTATTACACTAAACTCTAATCAACTGGCATAATATTCCCTATTTATTTTGTTGACCCCAGGAAGAGAGAACGGGACCAAGCACATTAGGAACAATGTTCTGGACTCTCCTTTGTTGGATCAAGTTGAGAAGAGTTTGTTTAAGGCCCAAGTAATAGGCCTTGAAATGATCCAATTTATATTTGCGATAGGTGTACCAGTGTTGGAGCTTGGCTCAACCTAACAGAAAGAGATTATTTGATCAAGGATATGTATTTAGTGATTTGCGCATTATAATCTAACTTCTAATCAAGTCATTGTGCTATGAATGGGGAACTGTCTCAGATTAGTTATGTTCTATGCCTTGTATGACTTAAGGACTTTTTAAATTCTACTTTTATGTGCTGGTACAGGTGAAATCCTAAAGGATTAGCCCCTGATCAGGCTAGAGATGTCCTAATCGGGCTAGATATAAGTAGATCATATTGCAAAGTATGGAGCCAATTTCTAGCTTTTTTCAATCCGATATGAGGGAAAACAAGTCATAAATGCTAAATAAACACTTTTAAACTTAAATTCAATTGAAAGACATGATTAGGAACTTAAGATTTCTCTACTCATTTCATTATCAATGCAAACTTAAAGTAAAATGACAGGAAAAACAACTCAGAACTGAGGATTTCTTGATTCAATTCATTGCAGTCATAAATTTGAATGTAAACGAACAAGTAAATCTAATAAATTGAAGTACTAGTGCTGAAAATGAAAAACTAATAATTGATACCAAGTGTTGGCAAAGTAATAAACTAAAAAAGATAACTAAGGAGTTGTCAACTGGATCTCTTGATGCAAGAGAGGTTTGTTGAGTTCAACGAGATCAAGTCTTGATCGAGTGTGAAATATGTTTCTGAGAGAAAAGCTGTGTGTTGAGAGTTGTGCTCTGCATCTATTTATAGGCTCATTGGTTCTTGAATTTGCACGCTTGGTGAAAAGATGGTTGAGTATGTGTTAGTTCTTTCTTTGCGGTTTAAAATGGTGAACTAGTACATTGAATTCTGCATTGTCGGTGATGGTTTGTCCCAGCATGGCCTTTTCTTCAACCAGTTGGTGTGGTATACCTTCATTGTTCAATCGCATTTAATGCGGTTGCTCAACCTTTCTCTTCTTCGTCTAACTTTTCCCAGCTATTGAAGTTAACTTTGAGTTTTAACCTAGATAATTGCACCATCAATCAGGTAAAAGCAATTTTGAGTTATAAACAATGGCTTTATTTTGGAAAATTAGAAATACTGGGCCTGCTTGACCTTGGGCCTATACCTCTGGGTATTTAATTCTATGAATTCGAGCAGCCCAAGGCCCATTCTGATTTAAAATCTATAAATGGGCTTTTTTTTCCATTTTCAGCCCAAACAATTTCTCTTTTCTTTTCTTTCAAATTATGTTTTGTTTTAGCTCTGAGTGGCATTGGACCCTGATGAGAAAAGAAGAAGCTCTTCTTTGAGAAAAGAAAATCATACAAGCAAGCAAAGCATAGTTATAAAGTAAGAAATAAGTTCCCAATATTGTAATTAAATTTCTTGCAAGCCCCTTGTGAAACAAGTTAAAAGGATATTAGGCCTTTCAAAGGTCCCCTGAAATTCAGCCACTGCTGATTTTATGTGAAAATAAGTTACATGAAATTTTATACTGCCAGCAAAAGAAGCATATACTTGGCAAGCTTTTATGACTGATATGAGGATATTTATCTCACAGCATCCATCCAGGGATGAAACCGTTGACTTGTTGGGCATGAGTTGTGGCACTCATCTGCTCTGACCCCACATTAGAGTACCTGCAAAATCGAAGTTAATCAATTAGGATATATATGGCTATTAATCAAGTTTAAAACACACTAATTAAGATTAATTACTTAAAAATTAAATCTTTACCCTATTTGCAAGGTGGGATTGCAATCCAAGGGCTGGAAGAACCCTTGAGATTGAGCATGCTGGGTCCCATATGCCATACCCCCCTGGTTTCCACCTTCCCATGATTGTCTAATTTGGTTTCTTGAACTAATGTCATCCAACTGCAATATGGTAATAAAATTCAATGTATTATGTAAATTGGTTCTATGTTTTCATGGTTTTGTTTTGAAATTACCTTCAATGACAAATCCCTGTTTGCTTCTATTAACATTTGTTCCTGTAATTAGAACAAGTTCATTAATATTATAACCACATGAAATTGCAATGCCTTGATGATATCTTCAAGACATGGAGGCAGATATATATGTGTACCTTATTTTGAAGGTCAGAAAGTTGGTCCAGCATATACTGAGTCTGCATAACAAGATGAGATAACAATTAATGCAGCAACATCTGCATGTAAATGTAAATTATTGAAGTTGACATGTTACCTTAGTGGACCTAACTTGCTTCAAGGAGGACTCAAGTTGACGCTCAAGCTGCTCAAGCTCCTTTGTGTTTAAGGGACCCAACTCTTCTCCAAGAAGGTTTCTACAGAATTTATAAGGAGAAATGATTAATGAGTTAACTAATCAAGTCAGCTAATTCTATAATTCACAAAGTAAGTACCTCTGAGTTCGTTGTAGGGACTCAAATCGACCTTTCAGTTTCAAGTACTCGCGGTAGCTGCTCTGCTACACATGAACCGAAACGAAAATGTATTAGCCGCATTCTATTAGATGATCATCTATAAGCCACATTCCAAAAGCAAAGTAAAAGTTTTTGAACTTCATATATATATACACAATATGGCAAAGTAGCAATTTAGGTGCTACCTCAAGTTCCTTGGCAGGTTTGTTGACTTCCACTTGACCATAACTGCACTTCTGGTACCTTTCCAGTGTTTTGAGTATGCTACTAAAGAAGAAGGCGCAGGGCAAAAGGAAAAGGAAAAAGAAAAAAGAGACAATTAGGATACTACTGAAAATGAATTAAAGATTCAAAATTTTATGTATGAGAAGAACATTATTAAACTTCTTCTTTCTGCCTTGCACTTTACTTTGCAGAATCTGCAGACCTTAAATTCTGAAGGCTGACAGCCTACTCAATCTATGGTTGTTGCTTTAAAATTAGGAAAACCTACCCTATATGGCACTTTAGGAACATCTATATCCTTGTTGTAGAACTATTTTCCCACCAAAAGACACCTATATCCAAAATGCCACTAGCCATTTGACAAATGATTGCATAAAGTATATATATTCACTAAAATAAACATTCATACTCCAATTTATACTCACAAGCAACAGCTGAAGAGAATTAAAAGTTTTGAAAAATGATACTCTAAGAAGAAAAGTCTTAATATGACACAATTAGAACAAGCTAGTTGATTTCCATGCTTCGATGGAAGCAACAACTAGTGATAAAGAATCGATTTCCAACTCCTTTTTTGTACATTAAACAAGAAGAGGTCATATTATTATAGAGAGTAGAGTACTCCATCACATAAACCATTCCATGTCAAACAACAAATCGAGGAATTTGCTCATCTTACTCGAGAAGGGTTTAAAATTTTGTACATTAAACAAGAAGAGGTGTCATGGTAGGCAATTTTATGCATTATGGTTTCTAATTACTTCTAGATGCATTCAAGCAAGATTATACATGTCGATGAATTAAAACTTACATATCAAACAAGGGGAATTCTCCAATAAATATTTAGGTTAAAAATTAGTTACATATTTTTAATCTTGACCGTCAGATTGCATTCATTAGATGTGTTGGTAGATTTAATATGCAACATACATGCAATGCAAATGTCGAGATTAGAAATATGCAACTAATCCTTAACATAAAATACTTATTGGAGAATCTCTCATCAAACAATTTGACAATAACATTTTTCTCTACATCCTAATTACAAGAAAACATAAACCCAAAAAATCTTATTTTAGTATTAGAGTAAATGGATTTCTGTTAGTAGTCATCATTTCAGTTAAGCCAAACAAAAGAATTATATTAAAATAAAAAGATAATGACAAGCAAATTAATTGATCGTAAACATCACCACAGCTGTGCTTGTCACTCGTATATTCGTGAACCTCTCTTTCCTTGAACCAAGTTCATGACTCTGACAGCTCTAACAATTCATGATTTCCTCTTTATATATATATATGATGCAACAAAAGTTGACTAATTCTCAAGAAACTTCAATCTTTTGCATTTCAAATTTGTAAACGATCTGTTGCATTAGACCTGTTCAATCCCAACTTCGTGGTTATGGTTGGCTTATGCTTTTTTTTTTTTTTTGGACGAAAATAGTTGGCTTATGCTTATCACATATCAAACATGCCAAAACCCTAGAATGTTTGCTCATATGCACAGTCAAAAGTATAATTTACATATAACAATAAACAAAGAAAAAAAACTGAACAAATCTTGAATGCAACAAATGGTTCACTACACATTTTTCTTTAAGAAGTGGCCAAGCAAAAAGAAAAAAACTTTTTTCCAAGTAGTTCATGATTTGAAAGAAGTCACTGGTTGTCCGCTGTATAATAGATAGGGTTTTCTTCATTGATAGATGTGTCAATTTTATACGGATTTCAGACCAAGACAATCAGAAGAAGGAACTTTAAATTCTCTAGACATGCCATTGAACACCGAGTCCGAAATTCTATACCAAAAGAAATATAGGATCATCATGATCTCAGCCTTTTTATAGTCACACACACCTTTGCAGCCAATCTGCCAATTTTTTCTTTCACTCAATCCATTCACACAAAGGGAACCAGAACAAGTTAGTGCAAAAGATAATTAAGTTTAACTCTTAATTTTTATCTAATTATATAAATTTTAATTCTAAGGTAGGCAAGGGGGAGAAATCAAAGGCAACATTTTTCTAGCTACCAAAAACAAAAGGGACAATATTTTCTGTCCATGAAAACCATACTCCAAAGAGAAAAAGAATGGGGAATCCTTGTGATTCAGATCCAGTAATGCAAGATTTAGTACCCAAAAAATTTGAACAAAATATCACTTCGTGAAATCGGATAATAGAATTAGATGAACATCCAAATTTTTGTTTTTTTTTTTTTTTGAAGCTTCAATAAATAACAAGAGGAAAAGAAGAAGAAATGGAAATTAAAATATGCATCATCATGATTAATTAATATTTCCAACATAGCTTTAAAAATTAAATTGAAAAAAAAAAGGAGAGAAACTTTGTGATAAGCTTTTGCACTTGTGGAAGCAAAGATCTCATATGGATCCCAATGAAACCCATGAAGAAATAAAGAATTTGTATCATCAGCCTTATGAAATGAATTAATCAAACCAAAAAGAGAGAAATTTTGTATATGAAAGATGCAAGCTTGAACTTGTAAAAGCAAGATCATATGGATCCCAAAAACCCCATGAAGAAATCAAAGAAACTAGAGAGTATAATTAAACAGATCCAACTCATATAAATCTAGAAAGAAGAAATGAGATGAGAGAGAGTGAGTGAGTGAATGATGTGTGTTGAGTAATTAAAATTTACCTAGAGCTGCTACAGAACTCATAGAGCTTGCCACGGTTAGAGAAGATGATGAGAGCAACCTCAGCATCGCAGAGAATAGAGAGCTCATAGGCTTTCTTCAGAAGCCCATTTCTTCTCTTTGCAAATGTGACTTGCCTGTTTATCTTGTTCTCTATCCTCTTGAGTTCCACTCTTCCCCTCCCCATGTCCTTGCCAGCTAAAATATTATCCACCCAATCAACCACACACACCCCCCCCCCCCCCCCCCCCCCCCCCCCCCCCCCCCTTAATTTTATTTCCCTTATATATATATATATATTTTCTATATATCAAAAGTTTTGATCTCCACAATATTTTCTTTCCCTTTTCTTGTTCTTCTCTCTCTCTTTGGTACAAGCTGATCCTCCTTTTCTAGGTCAGTACCAAACTGTAACCAAATTTGTGTAAAACAAGAGAAAGTTAGATACTCACTCAGTGGAAAACCCTAAAGAAAGATAAGAGAGAGAGAGAGAGAGAGAGAAAGAGAAAGAGAAAGATCAGAGCTTGTCTTGTAGCTTAGAGTTTAAGTTCTCTCTCCTGAGTTTTGGCTTTTAACCTGAGGCTCTAAATCTACACCCAGAAACTCTGAAATGAAATTTAGGGTTGGTGTTCTTTCTAGTTTCGTATAAAATCTCTTCTTTTCTTTCTTTTGTACTGTCTTTGTGCTGAGAGAGAACTCAACAACCAATCACAGCTTGAGCGCGTTTGGCTTTGTCTGTATGTCTCCATATCTCCATTTATTACTTACTGTGTCTTTCTAACTCAACAACACTTCTTTTCTGAAAGTGAAAATTCACGTCTACTTTTTGCCAAATTATATGCTGATATTCATAAATTTTGCATCATGTCATAATCCAGCTAAATTCATTTCTGAAAATATATCTGTGCTTTCTACTATTGCGCGCAGTCTGGCGCGTGGTAATTTGTAATTGTTTGACATAAATAATTAATAAATAAAAGGCTTGTATGATATACTGTCCTCGTAAGTAGCAGAACGTCCTCACCAACCTTAAAACAGATCTCCACGTGTTTGTTCTTCACTGGCTTAATCTTTCTTTCGAGAAAAAAAAAACCCTAAATAAAATAGAAAAATATTTGTGAGACTAAGTTCCTGCAACATTACATAGTTTAGCAACAACTAAAAACACCCAGTAAAACTATAAATAATATAAAAAGCACGGGTTAGTTCAAGTAGTGGTATAAGAGTTATTACCCTTGCACTTGAGGTATTGTATTCGGAATCCCACCTCCCTCAATATGACTAACGTGACCAAGGTTGATGTGTGTATAATATAAATTACGAATTGTCCATGAGTTTTAGTTCAAGCGGCTTTCAGATAAATAGATTTACATTTAGGATCCTTGTTTCAAGTCTTCAAAATCGCACTTAATCTAACCATTAGCCTTATGTTATGTATATATATACATACATGTATATATATAGTTATGTCTGATCCTCATCCAAGGACTGGCATTGATTGTATGAAATTAAAAAGTACGATCAAGATGAAGAGTCAACAAGATGCATAAATAGAATGCCAAGGATTAGTTTAGTTGTGTTGCTACAAAGCCATAAATGTTGCATTGCTTGGACCAGAGGGCAAACCACTTCTGCTGATACAAAAACAAAAGGGCATATTCACATTGTGTGGTCAAGGAAGAAAAAGCATGTACTCGAGAATGGGTGGTTTGGTCAATTCACCACCATATTGCCCTATGAGTAATACAACCCATATGGGGGGGGTAGAATAATAATCCAATACCAAAACTGGAAAAAGATGTGTGATTTTCTTTCAAGCACTGCGCCAACTGATGGAACATATAAGGCATATGTGTTCAATGTGACCCAATTTCTGCGGCCACAACAAATAAGAAATGGAAGAAAAAATAGGGGTAGGTGGGAGAGACATATTTTTCTTGCGATGGGTAGGTTTGAGAAATTAGATTAGATCAGTTTTTCGAATCAAGAATAATATTCGCATTTTGAGAGGTCCATGAGTCCCCACCACTCCCTATCACAATGGGTTGATTGCTACACAAGGGGCAAAGATGTCATAGGAAATACATTATCTTCGTCTCAAGCCTCTGCAACTAAAATTATATGTTTAAATTCCTCTTCCCGACTATTGCTTGTATAAAAAAAAAAAATTCCATATGTAACTCTTCTAGAAATACCTCATCTTCCACATAATGTACGTATTTTTATAGGATACATAATAAGCACAATATTAGCACCTAATTAAGAAAAAAGTTAACCTAAATGAGCTAAAATATCAGCAATGGAGTTATATTTATAAAAGTTGGTGACATGACTCAATGTTTGTTTTGTGAGGAATAACAGAATCCATCATACACATGGAGTTAAAGGAAGGCTAGTGTTTGGTAAGCTAGGAGGAGGAGGACGGATATTTGAAGTTCCATGCTTGGCCATGGGTATATGTATCATATGGTTAAAGATGCATGGGCACAATTATTCAATGGACCCCACCCTAAATTATTCCTCATTAATTTATCGTGGAGTATATGAATGATTTGACCCCCTCCTCCAAAGCCTATATTTATGTCGACCATTGCTTCAAAACTTAGACGCTGCCTAATGATAAGCATTAATCCAAGTTAGAGTAAAATATTGGTCAAATATAACCTAATATTTTGTAAACATGCGTTGTTGGTCAAGTTAGCTCACATGTTAATGCATTTTTACTTAATCGTTTTTTTTTTCATATAAGCGATATTCAGAGAAGGGTATTCGAACACACAATTTCAAACATAAACGTAACTGCTCTTTAACCACTTAAGTTATAAGTCCCTTATAATTTTAAGTTAGTCGTCAAATGCAATTAAATAGAAGTTGAGAATCTTGTGCGTAAAGTTCATTATTTGAGAAAAGAAATTGAGTTCCTAAAAGACAGTGATGATGCGCCCAAGCAAAAGCCAAATCGAACTTAAACCGGTTAAACACGCGTTCCCATAGGAAGATCGGTTTATGTTTCGAGTGTTTGTTAGTTTTAGAGGAGAAACGCTGTTTTCCAAGTCCAAAGTTACTGCTGGAGTGTCAATGCAGCACTCTTCCACCTGTGTCGATCAGGGATTGGGGGTCAGAACAGTGCCAGGTGACGGAGATGATTGATTGCAAAACCTTGGCCAGGCGTCCGTACACTCCCAACGGCGTTTACCCGGAATAGTGAAAGGCCCTGCAAGTACACGTGTCGAGAAATGAGAACGGAAATAAGACTAGTGGATGTTTTCGCTATCGGACGTCTTATCGGACGCGTGCTGGGAAAAGCTACTCCTTTGCCTCTTTGATTATTATGGCACTCAGGTCTATTGGTAAACGGTAAACTAGCAATTTTTATTTTTATTTTTAAAAGAAAAGTACTTCAAAAAAATCGGCAATGGATGTGATGATCGTACAAATCAAAGTTAACTCTATAACTAATACTCATAAGAAGATGATGAAAAATATTACAAAGAAGATCCGCTACCATATTAACTTCTCGATAAATATGCTGAAAAGAGACATGAGTATAATTTTGTAGCAAGTACCAAATATCGTGCGTATGATTGATTATTCGAATTGCCCGAGGAGCTGGGATTTGTTTCTTGAGAATTCGAATTAGAATCTTGGAATTCCCTTCAATTTCGTAATACTTTAGATGCCTTGTCACTTCGCAACATCTCTGAGTTCCTACAGAGTCCCTCGTTTAGAAATGCAGCATAGCACAAATGAGATTGAGATTTGATTTTTCCCACTAACAAATGGTGCTGTGCTTTAAAGCTTTGCCACAATACAACTCAGTAGATATAAGAGGCTTTCTTTTTGGGGTATGTACGTCTCACAAGTCCACTTCAAGTTCAAGTTCAAGGGTTGTTGCTATGTGTGTGCAAATTCCAGAATCTCAGAGGCATTTTTCAAACCACAGCCACATGTAGTATAAGTTTGTTACAGAGGGTAGGTTACAGAAATATGAACCCCCCGCCGCCCCCGAAAGCTCAGCCACATTTTTACTTCTACTCTGCCTATAATGTGTGGAAGTAAAAATGGTGTCCACTTACCATGGTAGGAGGGAAAATCACTACCAGTTTTGAGATCATTTCTTCTGTTTCTTCCAAATAATGCTCACATTCAATACATATACCAAGTGCTATAAAGTTTGTATGAGAAATGGATAACGCGTGCTAACCTGGTATCCATTCAAAGAACCTTCGTATGAATTTCAAAGGGTTATATATACTTTCCTACTGAGTTGCTATCTTTAGCAAAAGCTTCCTTTTTACTACGACTCCAATAAGGACCACTGACTGATCTAGTTCTCTTCCAGCTCGCAAGCCGCTTCTTAGTAATTTCGCATAAATATCCAACAAAAGTTATCTACCATTTCTTCTTACAACACAGCACATCTTATAGCCTAAAGTTAAGCAGATATTTCCTAGCTCAAACTCAAGAGACGTACGATGCTGCTCCTAATCAAAAACCAAATTGACTGGAAAACTCATATCACATTAAACATGCAACAAAAGGAACACCTTCAGCAAATTAAGCCACCATATCTACTGACCACAAAAGAAATCAATAACAGAAGCCGCCGGAGGGGAGAGGGGATGCTTTTCGTCTGACCCTTAGACGAATTCTGCATAAGGCCCCCTGACTTCTTGTGTATAGGGCATCAAATCAAATTCAAGCATAAGCATAACATCAGATTTACCAAGGATGAATATGATTCAATTGGGGGATTCATCTTGCTAGAGAGCAGGGTAATAAATATGCAGTCTCTAGAATTGACATGGATGGCAAACTATCCATGTATTACATTATCTGTGATATCAACATAAAAACGATTTTGTAATGTATATATATCTCTACTGTCTAAAGTGGGTTCATAAACTTCCTGCTCTATATCATTGGACATTGATAAATCATGTTAAGATAGCGCAACTAGCGTAAGAAAATTTTAATTTAGATGACTTAAACAAACTCAAACAGATGTTTTAGAGCAATCAGGGCAGCTAAAATGACCTCTAGCGTTACAGTTGGTGCAAGAAATGGATCTTACTTTCGAATCACTACCCCCAACCGATTCATAGAAGTCATCAATGAGATTTAAACCAAACACTCCTCCTTCTTTGATTAATCCAACTCCTTTGCATCTTGAGCATGCTATCATCCTCAGATTGCCACATCTCTTGCACATTCCCAAAGAACTGAACATTCAAAGGATTCATTCATATACAGCACACATAAATCAGAATGCACAAATACATAATACACAAATCCCACAAGCAAGTAGAAAATGAAACTGGAGTTTTATTGAATTGAAGAAATTGATTTTTAACCCACATGAAAAAATTTCATTACAAGGATATTTATCCAATTCTTTGAAACTAATTACAACTTGATGAAGATAATGGAGCTGAAGTGAACTCAAACATTAGAAAGAGTCAAAGACAAGCCTTTTGTGATGAATTTTGGAAATGGGTAATTACCTGCGCTGAGAGGCAGAGATGAAAGCGTCGACCTTTGGGGCAGCAATGGTGGCGCAGAGGAGCAGAGCCCCAACTCCAAAACCCGCCAGCTCGCTTGCCGTTATGTTATCCATTTTTCCTCTCTCTCTCTCTCTCTCTCTCTCTGTTTTCCTGTCCCAGCTCTTGCTGATAACTGATACTAACCACCTTATCTGAACTTTCAGATTATCTGTCGGTTAATATTCTTATCGGGGCTCCAGAAAGCATCAACGGCCTATTAGCTCAGCTGGTTAGAGCGGCCAACTTTTTGTTTTGTTTTTCTTCGTGTCATTTCGGTCATGTCGGTCATTTCTCCATGGCCTAGGCTTTGTCATGGGTTGAAAACCATTGAGTCTTACCGGGCTACATCCAAGTCCAATCTCACGTTGTGTCAAATGGCCCATTTTTTGTCTCTTGGCATTTTGGGAACCCAAAACTTATTTTTAATTCACTAATTAACATGAAACCCACTTGCATTTGTGTCTTCGTTCAGTTGGCTAAGGAAAAGGAAGTGTATATTCCCTCTTTACATAAGATCTCGATCTTCCTATTCATACATTAGAGTAATTAGAATATGGTTTTGTCAAAAAGAAAAAAACAAAACATGTAACCTACTTATTAGAGTAGTTAGAACATCGTTTTGTCAAAAAGAAAAAAAAAACATATAACCCATTTACGTTTGACTTTTGTTTTTCCGTGAGAACTATTTGTTTTTATGTCATTGATTGGTAATTACGATCAATGGCGGATTCATGAATATTTATAGATTGGGCTATTGTTTTTTGGTTGGGATCAATTATAAGCCTTATTATTAAACAAATATATATATGTATATATATCAAAAGCAATATTTTCTTCAGATTAATGAAAGTGGTACACTTTTTGAATAATTCAATATATTTCCTTGAGATTAAAAAATATTTTCAGAATTCATTAAAAGAAAAATACTATTTTTAGAGAGATATCTGAATAAAAAAAACCTAGAAAAACCAAAATTCAGAGGCTCAAACGAAGAAAAATTTGAAGCTTGAGGACTTTGGATCAGCAAAGTAGTTTTGTTAGGGAGAGTCTGTATTTCAATATTTCCAAAAGAAGCAACATCAACAAATTAAAAACAAAAAACAAAATCATAGAAATATATAAACATTATTAGAGCCAAATCAAAAGCTGAATAAACCAAAGAAGAGAGAAAAAAAATTTAGTAATTGAAGTATTTAAAGTATTTGGCTATAGACATGGGCTTCGTTCTAGAAAAAGTGGTGGGCTATTATTTAATTTTTCTGAATTGAGCTTACACAACTAAGCCTAATTTGTCTCTCTCCAAAGTCAACACTGGGCTAGAGCCCACTTTAGCCCAAGCATGGATCCGTCCTTGATTACTATTCAATTTCATCACCATCTATCTTTTTACCAATTCTTGTCATCACCATCAGTTGGTAAGGTTCTTGCATTGTGTGTAGCTTCACTAGTATTTGAGTCCCGCTACCAACAGTTCTTGTTGATGCACAATCTGTAATTTCCTACATAAATTCATACCGGTAGCAGCTAACAGTGAGAATAGTCAATTTCCCCCTGAACTTTTGTTCACCCAAAAATAAAAAACTCTAAGAAGCGGTAAGATTTTGGGTCGCTTTGAAATTTTAGGAACCAACCATTTGCATGCATATCTCTCTCTACGGTTGATGGTAGCGAAAAGAAAATGTAAAAAAAAGGAGTGGCCAAGACGCATATAGCACACTAGACGTAAGTACTTTAAATATACTAAGTTCCATCCAATTGATGAAACGTAATCACTTTAATTTTATAGTATTCAACTTTCAAGTGCCTTTTCATGGATATGCATGAATACATATCTCAGGCTCAGCTCTTTTAATTAGTTTCAGGGTTAAACTCTTCTGCTACATACATATTACTATTGACTAGACGCCTCTCTCTTTCGCTTCATCGATCAATCAGAAGATGTTCTTGTGGCCTATTGATTAGCTTCTCTTGTCAATTCTCCAGCCATCAGCTTTCAACTTGGTCATTGACTGGTCAAGATTTGGTCACTTTAAAAGTCAATCCCGGTCAAATTTGGGAAATTAGATATACAAATATTTGACACAAAAATTATTATAATGGCTCTCACTGCTCATGCAATTTTGATTTCTCCATTTTTGCATGTATGAAATGAACATGAGAGCAATATGAAGCCTGTCAATCTGACTATACATATGAATGACAGCCATTTTGACTTTGCATGTCTAAATGCTTTTGCAATTCTCAAAGATCTGCAGAAGCATGATTTCATACGTAGGAAAAGTTCATGTAAAATTGTCTGCTGATCGATTCATGAAACTGTGTTCTCTTTCTCTTTGGGAACATCTTTTTTTCTTATGGAAATTACAAACAGCTTTGTTGATGATCACTCATCCCAAACCAACTTAATGGATATCTTTGTAGATTGATTGATACATGGCAAATGCAATGGGAATAACATTGGTAATGAATAACAATAATAATAAAAACAATAGAAAAGAAGGATGAGCGTTTGGCTACACAAATCTTATTTATTATATGTAAATCAAAATTAACAATAGTGCAAGTACAACAATAATAAAACCAACATACAGGAAGTTCATAGGATTAATTAATTAGGATACATTAAATAATCTGGTACAAATTAATAGATAATAAATCAGCCCTCTTAGATCCTTAGAAGATGTAGCCTCCATTATAGAATGTGTTAGAGTAATCCCCTCCAGAAGAGAAAGCTGTAACTGCTGCTTGATTCTGCATTGCTGATTTGTTGCACTGGCTTAAGCTTGTGTTTCGATCCATTCGACCGTTTACATGCTCATCATCTAAGTTCCAGAGGCGCCCCATAAATAACCCTTCTTCTCCTAATATATCTGCCCAAGACCCTACACTTCCTTGGTTCATCAACGCAGGCAAGCAATATTGGTCCCCCACCAAGTTGGGGTAGCTGCTACTAAAAAGATTCATATTATTCTCTTGCCTTGCTTGTGCCTCATGATCAGTAGTCATGTTAATGTTTTCTCCTTGGCTTGCTTCCGATTGTGGCGTGGCTCGTATTTTCAGATTTTGATCTTCCTGCAGTTGTTGTTGCTGCTGCTGCTCCTGTTGTTGTTGTTGTTTTGCTAGAAGAATTTGAGCTTTTCGTTTCTCTTGCTTCTGAGTGCATTTCTCTTTCTTTTTGAAATGAGTTCTCCAGAAGTTCTTTATCTCATTGTCTGTTCTTCCTGGCAAGTATCTAGCAATGCTAGACCATCTGTATACATTTCACATAAAAATGAGTGTACTTGATAATTATTCAATCTAGCTAGCTGCAGACAGACAAAGCATAGGACATCATTATATTGCTTACTTGTTACCCCATAAAGCATGCAATTCAATAATGATGCCTTCCTCCTGAGGTGTTATATGGCCTCTCTTTAATCCAGGCCTAAGATAATTCACCCATCTAAGTCTGCAACTTTTGCCACTCCTGTTCAAACCTGAAAAAACAAATTATTAGAATTTTTTTTTAAAAAACATGCAATTATTAGAAGTTAATTAAGAGAGTTTAATTTAATTACCTGCACACCTAGCCACACAACTCCATCTTCCCTCTCCATGTAAGTTGACATATTCATTGAGCAGCTTGTCTTCCTCTGGTGTCCAAGGACCTTTCCTCCATCCTTGTTGTTCTGCAAATCCCCAACCCATCATTGTTACCATCCTTCCTTTCCTTGGTTTCACTTCAATTCAACCCAGCTGTTTGTTGTCTCTGTATTCTTTGACACTTATTGCACAATGCATGGCTAGTTACCTTCCCTCCATATATATGCATGACATATATATCTCCTCCTACCTCTGAAACAGTGACTTCAATATCGTTTTCTTTGATGATCTCAGTCAAGATCTTTGAATCGAATCTATGCTTCAGTCTCTCATCATATCAAGAAATTGACCCTTCCATCTACAAATCTGAGTCCAAGTGTTGAGACGTGGTGTGTCAACCAGGTCAATATACTTTCAACCAATCAGACCACAACAGTTGTGCCTTCTCACTCCTAGTCACCGTACACAATGACATCACCATCAATATTATTCCCTCTGCATAAAACTACACAAACAAGCCACATTGTGTTCCATTGTTTTATTTTTCTTGATGATGAAATTAATCCGTCATTGTTGAGATTAGTGGGTTGTTGATGTCTCCTTCGAAAGTGCCTCTGATCCAACTGGTGTGTAACACCTGTGGCAAAAGTTTTGCACGATTAATTAGCATTATTTATGGTTAATGACATCTATTAATTAAATTTTTTAAGCACAAAGAAGTTTCTGGGATGCCATTTAGGGTAATGGGGCACATAAAGTTTTGAAAGGGCCCTGATGAGTCACCTATCCTACACCTGGCTCTTGGACTCATCAAAAGTAGCTTATTTGGAAAGTTGGGAAGTGCTTAATTGGTTTGCTGATTTTTTTATAAAAGCAATCTATGCCTATATATAGTAGGTAATGATGGTTACAGAAACTATATTAGTATTTGAGCTTTGTTAAAGATTACATAAGTGTTCAAGATCTTGTCGAGCTTAAAGATTTTACAGAATGAAATGCTTGATTTGATGGGGCCAAAATGAAGATAGCTTTTGCTTCTCTCCTAACCCCTTTTGAGTAATGTTACTTCATCAATGACCACGAAACCCAACTTTACTTTGGACAAACTGGGAACTATCCCTTTCAATCTACACAACCTATGTATTTGTTCATGCATCTTCTGAAAAAGAAGAAGGAAAAAAAAAAAAAGATCTGTGTGCTAAAGTGGATAATATTATATGGTTTCTAGAAGGATCTAGTTACAACCTAAATGATACTATAAAGGGTTCCAATAATTTCATTTTGGGTACAATTTTGTGGAACTTATATTTCTTTCCACATAGCAGAGAGCAGATGTAGAAATGAAGATTTCAGAATTAGTTAGTGATTAGGTATGTAATGCACCCATATTGAGCAAAATAATGTAGCAGCTAATGAGTGGTATTTTCCTTATTGTTAAACTAATTGAAATTTGTTGATTAAATTTGATCTAATTTCTTTTTCCTCCTTTTGATGATGGCTAAGAACTAAATGAAGAAATGGTCCCCCACTGCCCTTTTTGACGTAATGATG